TTTTACCCCATCCTTCTCAACCCCATAGGGGACTCAAGGCGCTTACATATATAGGCAACAATTAGATGCTAAAACACACAGAATAAAAACATAAGCATTAAATCAATCAATCAAAACATATAAAACCTAAAAAAATTTTTTTGATATCACACTATCCAATACTGAAATTTGCGGCCATTCCAATTTGTCATTGCACTATTTAATCTTTTCTTATTGTAGTGATAGATTACTCATTGAATACTTGGTCAAACTGAGAAGGCCCTCTCTCTCTCGTCCCCACCAACCGCACCTGCGAAGGAGACGGGATCAAGAGCAGGGCCTCCGCAGAATATCTTAATCTCCTTGCCAGCTGATAGAGGGGGGCACATTTATTTATAATTTATTTATAATTTATTTACAGTATTTATATTCCACCCTTCTCACCCCGCAGGGGACTCAGGGTGGATTACAATGCACATATACATGGCAAACTTTCAATGTCAATTAGACATACAACATATATAGACTTTGCCTGTATTTTGCTGCCTATGATCCCTGCTCCGCCAACTTCTTCATCCTCATTCATCTTCTGCTGCCTGAAAAGACTGTTCTTTCTCCTTGAAATAGTCTCTGCAGAACACCTGTGTGAAACTATTTGCTTTAAACCCCACCTTTTTCACCAAGCTTTAGCACAACTCTCATATTCCTAAGTCCTGTTGTAGTTAAACCTGAAACAGAACTAAACTGAGTATGACTGGAACCAGCGCAAATTCTTTGTTAATGACTTATCTTGTGTGTCCAATTTTAGAGGGCAAACAACCTGGGGCAGGAACTTGTCCTCCTTTATTTGGTAAAGTGCCATTCACATTGATGAATACTATTTAAAAAAAAAAGCTTGTACACAATGTGTTGGAAGAAAAGAAACAGCTGTACTTGAGATTATACACTTAGTTTGATAAAAACTTGAGACAGACTAGTTTCCACTTCTTCAAAGAACTGAAGATGATGTGCGAGGTGCCATTGTTCATTTCATTCAGCTTTCATGATCACAAGGCTTTTCTTTTTTATACACAAATTTAAAACAAATCCAAAAACTGTGAAACCCATTTGGCCACAGATGACAGTAGGATAAAATACGAGCCTTCTTATTCCATTCCTCCATGCCCAGTGGGATCTAGTGTTTAGGCTGAATTACCACGATGATATACTGTTGTTCAAATGTCTACTTTGTTGTAAAGTTTAACAGCTGACAATCACCATCTCTTTGTTCAACCTACATTCTGAAGATCAAACAGAATCTCTTATCCTTATACTGAAGAGTTTGATTTAAGAAACAATATGTGAATGAATATGTAATGAGTGGATTTTAAAAAGGTAAATAGTGAGGTTTAAATTGCTTTACTATTGGATTATCATTTCTGAATAAGGAATTAACCAATATTCCTTGATTTTTCAGTTGATTTACTTTTTAGATTTTTAAGTATTACAAAGCATTTCTTTAAAACACACTCAGATAAAACCAGTATCTGAAATCAATTCATGCAAGATATTGAATAACAAACACGAAACTCAACCAATTCTAGAAAGAAATGGACAGAGAAGTGCCCATTCGTGAATGTTGCAATTGATCACCTTTATTAGCTTTGAAAAGCCTTGCAGCTTCAAGGCCTGGCTGCTTCCTGCCTGGGGGACTCCTTTGTTGGGAGGTGATCAATCCCTCTGCAATGCCAGAAATACAGCTTAATGGTGTAACACTAGAAAATGTTGAGCATTTCCAATACCTTGGCAGCCACCTCTCCACAAAGTCAACATTGACACTGAAATACAAACCATTTGAGCTCTGCAAGTACAGTATTTTTCTGAATGAAACAGATAGTGTTTGAGAATTGAGACATCCATAGGGATACCAAGGTGCTTGTTTATAAAACAATTGTCCTCCCAACCCTGCGATATGCCTGCAAAACATGGACTGTCTACAGACATCATACTCAATTCCTGGAATGATTCCATCAGCATTGCCTCCAAAAAATCCTGCAAATCTCTTGGGAAGACAGGTAGACAAATGTCAGTGTGCTGGAAGAAGCAAAGACCACCATTGCTGAAGTGATGCTCCTATGCCATCAACTCCGCTGGACTGGCTACGTTGTCCAAATGGCTGATCACCATCTCCCAAAGAAGTTACTATACTCCTAACTCAAGAATGGAAAATGGAATGTTGGTGAACAGGAAAAGAGATTTAAAGATGGGCTTAAAGCCAACCTTAAAAACCGTGACATGGACACTGAGAACTGGGAAGCCTTGGCCCTTGAGTGCTCTAACTGGAGGTCAGCTGTGACCAGCAGTGCTGCAGAATTCAAATTGGCAGAATGCAGGGTGAAAGAGAGAAATGTGCCAAGAGGAAGGCACATCAAGCCAACCCCGACCGGGACCGCCTTCCACCTGGAAGCTGATGTCCTCACTGCGGGAGAACATGGTGATCAAGAATAGGGCCCCACCGCCAAGACACTACATTTGGAGGACTATAATCCTTGAGCTATGAAGGATCGCTATACCTCTAACCATAAGATGAAGAACAAAAAGTCCAGTGTGCCAATACAAATACTGTTCAAGTAAGTTTTTAATAGAGTGCACCAGTGAATGTGAATTAGGATGACTTGCGTCAAAAAATATTTTTTTTGAAAGAAACACCAGATAAAGAGGGGTGCAGTTCTTTCTTGCCAAAACACCATCCTTTTTTTTTTTTCCTAAGGCAACAATACACGTTCGTTTCGGAACAGAACTGTTACAGAAGAGAGATCTACATCACAGTACAGTACAGCATGTCAAGTCCATCTGTCAGAAAGCCATTCTCCAATGGCACATTAAGCTACACTTACAGCCTTCTAATTTCGGGTTACAGAGTTTACCACAGCTTCTTTTTTTAATTTTTTCATTTTTCATAAAGTGACAATTTTGAATGACTTTTTCTAATCTTTACAGGAGTGTGCAGATGGGGCCCATATGTTGAAATTACAGTAATTACGACATTAAATAACATTGCACAACCAACCGCTATGATTAATTCAGTACAAAATGACAAATATTAAAATGTACCAAGTACTAGTGGTTTTACAGAATTTATATCACTAATTATGAAGGATTTTTTTCTTCTTCTTCCATAGGCCGAAGCCTACACACAGCTTCACATTACAGGCATAAAGATGTGGAATAAATACAAGAAAGTGGGCAAAATATTAAAAACAGACAAGTTATATGGGAACAAAATTTGTACAATCACAGAAGTAATAATCTATCCTTACAGACAATGTATGCTCAGCTGTAAAGTATATGGAACTGCATGTGTACTCTTGGGGTAGGGGGGAAATATTCCAAAAACCAGTTAATTCCTGAGGTGGCAATTATTAGCTCTTACAATTGGTCAACATTTCAGAATACCTTGTGCTATGAAACAGTCTCAATACAAAGATATATTTTCATAAAATGGGATCTGTACTCTTTCGAAGGCAGAAAATAATAATACTTCACACTATGATGAATGAATATGAACTGTATACTTCTGTTGCAACATTTGACTACTTGCTCACAAGAGCAAAACTTAAATGTGCAACTAAAATGTGATCAAAATGGGATTTCTGTTCCCCAACATGTTATGTTACAGGGGTCCGGGACTAAACACACTCAGAACTAGTGGCGTGCATTCGGGTAAAAGCTTGTCCTGCTTCGTTTCCGGGCTTTTACGGTGGGGCCTGATCCATTTTCAGTAAGCTTCCCAAAACTGGGAGGGTGGTTTTCGGTTGTTTCATTTCAGGACCTGAAAACTGGCTCATTATGGAGGGGGGCTTCCCACCCATTGGCTCCCCTTCCTGAGGCGCTCGGCTGTCTGACAGGCGCATGACAGGCGCATGTGTGTGTGGGCACACACTACCTCCTTGTGCGCGAAATTCGTTCTTGCTGTTTCTTTTGTGTCTTGTTTATTTGGAAGCACAGAACGGGAAGCCCCCTCCCCAAATGAAACTCAGCTCAACACAAAAGCCTGCTTTCATGTGGAGCCAAAATTTTGTACATGCACGCTTCTCTCTTTCTCCTCAACCCTTTCTCGGGCCCGCAATGCCCCGCATTCACTCACAGGAGTCATGGTTGGGCAGCCCTACATCCAGACCTCAGCAAGCATGCTTTATGAGGGCAAAAGAAACTTCCTCCTGCCCCTTCCTCCTGCCCACTCAGAGAGTGTGGTGGGAGGCTGGGTGTGTGTGTGTGGTGAGATGTGTGACTGTGCCGGCTGCAGGCAGGCACCAACACGCGCGTGCAAGCCTTCCAGGCCTGCCTGCACACCCCACACCACAAACACACTCTCCCCACCATATACACACACCCAGAAAGGAAGAAGGGGTGGTGGTTCCTTTCGCCCTGATGCTGAGGTCCGGATGTGGGGTTGCCATGTTGTGACTCCTGTGAGTGAATGCAGGGCATTGTGGGCACGATGGAGGGAAGAGGAGAAAGAGAAGAAGCATGCACGCATGGAATTTCTGCTCCACACAACAACAGACTTTTGTGTCGAGCTGAGTTTTGTGTGGGGTGAGGGTTTCCCGTTTCATGCTTCCAAATAAACAGAAGACACGAAAGAAATGGCAAGAACGAATTTTGCGCACGTCTACTCAGAACCCCCTCTTCCTCACTGTAAGCGCCGAAACTGTAAACATGTTTGTATATATTTTTTCAGCTAAGCATTGTTCTATGAAAGGAGCACAAGAGTTAAAAGGGAACAAGGAAGAATTTGGTGTTCAACAAAAGCCAACCTGTTTGTTTATTAATTTGTTTTCGATATATGATTTGTTTAAGAATAACAAAAATTGTTCATGCTACAATTGTGAAAACCCTTTTTGTGTATTTCTACTATGGACATCATTTGGTTTTTAAAAAATGCATGACAAGAGGTAAGAATGATAAAAACCACAAAAAAAATGGAAATAATGACCAGGAAGAATTTTTCAACTCAAAGCGAACACACATCTGTGCTGATGTTTAGATAACTATACAAGATCTGTATTTAAGCCTTCTTTTTATACAATTCTATGGACATAAAACAAAAAAGAACGCTCTATATACTTACCTGTACATGTGAGCATAACTTCTTTAGCTACAGTATGTTTTTTTTCCTTTTAAGGTAGGTCATACTGAATTAAATTTTACAATTCAGAATAACTATGTATAACCTTATTGCAACAGGGACAATTTCTACATGGGGGGGTGTCATAGGCCAATCATGTTAGGCATAACCAGTACATTCAAAATGTAAGCTGAATCTTCCCTGATCCCAGAAGTGCCGTTGCTCTTTACAGCTTAAGCTCGTTGGCTATTTTGGATGCAATGTTTTTAAAGGCAATTGAAGTCCCAGATATTCGCTTGAAGCGGACTCCGTTGAGCGACAGGCGCGGCAATTTACAGACCTCCATCTCCCACTGGACCAGACTGTCCTGCCGCGCATCGCCATGAACGCAGAAGAGCAGGAATCTCTCTTTTTGTTCATAGTCACAGTTATTTGCATCTAACACTTTTCGAATCTCTCTCATCATATCATTTGGGTCCATGGAACTTGTCGTCTTCATGCTCCAGGTAAATCTCAAAGACCGTGGCTTAGAATCTTTGCCGTCCTCTTTCTCTCTCTCTCTGGGCTCCCCGGAAGCACTCCTGGAATATTGAAAATACAAAAACATGGGAAATAAACTTGAGTTAGATAAGTTTATACAATTATTTCCAGTCAAAACCGATTTGGGCTTAGAATGTAAGCTACTACGTGGAGTCACAAACAGTTAGAATTCTTCTAGAATTTGGCATTAATCACAAACACTCAAAACATCTAATGGTCACACAAAACAGAAGGCAAGACATTCCATAAAAAGCAGGTGGCAAAGCGTGGAAGAAAGCACCCTGTTGTTTTTTGAGAAATAGTGTGTTCACATTTCTTTACAGAGGGGCGTTTATTTTGTCAAAGTAAGTTGGAAATCTGGAAAATAAGAGGAATTGATGTGTTGTCGAAGGCTTTCATAGTCGGAATTACTGGGTTGCTGAGAGTTTTCCAGGCTGTATGGCCATGTTCCATAAGCATTCTCTCCTGACATTTCACCCACATCTATGGCAGACATCCCCAGAGGTTGTGAAGTCTGTTCAAAACTGGGGAAGTGGGGTTTATATATCTGCAGAATGACCAAGGTGGAAGAAAGAACTCTTGTTTGTTTGAGGCAAATGTGAATGTTGCAATTGGTCAGCTCAATTATTATTGAATGGCCTTGCAGCTTCAAAGCCTGGCTGCTTCCTGCCTTGAAGTTGCAAGGCCATTCAATGGTAATCAAGGTAGCGAATTGCAACATTCACACTTGCCTCAAACAGACAAGAGATCTTTCTCCCACTTGCCCAGTTTCCAAAAGACCTTGCAACCTCTAAGGATGCCTGTCATAGAAGTGGGCAAAATGTCAGGAGAGAATGCTTCTGGAACATAGCCATACAGCATGGAAAACTCACAGCAACCCACTAAGAGGAATTACCTTGGAAGGTGCATTTAAAATGCCTAATCCCAGTGAATGCATGAGTAAAGAATATGAATCCATCTTCAGCAACTGGGTTGTTTGCCCTTATGGTGCAATTTAATGAACTCCTCTTGTTACTGTTTTTTTCCCCCTTTCAAAAGCTAAACTATAAGCACAAATCCAAGGGAGAACCTCCTGAACAATAAACACTATAGGAATGGCACTTGCACAAATCATATGGAACTGTACATAGCACAATGCTTTCGCCCATAGAAGTCACACCTTCTGTGCAAAACAGAGCATTTGTAAATTTAGACTGGGAATATATTATCAAATAGCATAAAATATTTAATAAGCTTTTAGGAAAAAATTCCACAAATAGCGTTAAGATGTTATGGGAAAGTCAGGGAGCAGATAGCCCAATTCTATGCATGTTTACTCAGGAATAATTCCCACTGAGTTTGGTGCATCGTATTCCCAAATTAGTCTGAATATATTATCGAAGGCTTTCATGGCCAGAATCACTGGGTTGTTGTAGGTTTTTTCGGGCTATATGGCCATGTTCTAGAGGCATTCTTTCCTGATGTTTCGCCTGCATCTACGGCAAGCATCTTCAGAGGTAGTGAGGTCTCTGATGATGCTTGCCATAGATGCAGGCAAAACGTCAGGAGAGAATGCCTCTAGAACATGGTCATATAGCCCGAAAAAACCTACAACAACCCAGCCTGAATATAATTGAAGATCTAGAGAACAGACGCCCTTTTGCATTGCAGCCACAACTTCATCAGTCTTTATCCTTACCTCAATCCTGCCTGAATTTTAAATTCTCAGGGGAAGGCTTTTTTCTCAGTTTCAAGGTTGTCACAGGCAAGTTTGCAAAGGACACGAGAGGGGGCCATTTTAGTGACTGCTTCTAGGCTATTGAATTCTTTGCAAGGGAGACTTTCCTCCTTCTGCTGGCTGCCAGAGACATTTTATTTAGACAGGGCTTTGGCTGTTAAAACTAGTTGCTATTCCAGAATTTTTCACTGAGCAGCAGGGACTGCCATTTTTCTATTTTCACTACTAGGCTTTATATTCATATTTTCAGTATGATTAATTATTTGTTTACTTTTCTTTCATCAATTATTTTAGCTGTATGTTGCTTTAAACTAGGCTGTAAGCTGTTTGTGGGGTCCCACATTGGAAGAAGGATGTTAATTAAATGAATGAACACATTCCCTAGAAATTGACAGAGAAGTAATATGTCATCTCATTTTAATATTGCTTTGTAATCTAGGTCTGCCTCATATCTTAGAGTTTTAAGAGCTCTCTTGTCAGTAGTGGTATGTGTCTGTGTACACAAACTTTAGAAGGAGTAGCAGACATGTGTAATTCTGTACTTTTCCAAAACTGAAGTATGATACTTTTTGGCCTCTCTATAATATATACTTGGTGTTTAGAGAAGTGATTACTGCAGGGAAGTGATGATGGGGTGAAGTGGCTCTAAAAACCTTGCCTTTTCTCATGTGGGCTGAAACCAGGTAAGAAACACCTGAACAGGACTTTGCCCTCTAGCTTTCTTGTACATCTTTCATGTACAAGAATCTTTCATTGCATGGGTGGTGCATTGGGTTAAGCTATTCTGCTGCTGAACTGCTGACGTGAAGGTTGGCAGTTCACATCTGCAGGATGGGGCGAGCTCCCACTGTTAGTCCTAGCTCCTGCCAACCTAGCAGTTCAAAACCATGCAAATGTGAGTAGATCAATAGGTATCTGACCACATGACTGGGAGGTGTCTACGGACAACACAGGCTCCTCAGCCTGGAAATGGAAAAGAGCACCTCCCCAAGAGCCGGAGGTGAGCACCACCTCCAGAGCCAGAAATGAAAGGAGAAGCCTTTGCTTTTGTCTGTGTATTTGTGTTTCATTGTATGTCACTGTACCAAGGCACTGAATGTTTGCCTGTGTCTGTTTATATGCTGTAATCAGCTCTGAATCCCCTCAGGGAGAAGAGCAGAATACAAATAAGTAAAGGTAATGGATTCCCCTAACATTAAATCTAGTTGTGTCTGACTCTGAGGGGTAGTGCTCATCTCTATTTCTAAGCCAAAGGGATGATGTCCGTAGACATTTGCAAGGTCATGTGGTCAGCATGACTTAATGGAGTGCCTTTATCTTCCTGCCAAGGAGCTACCTATTGATCTATTCACATTTGCAAATGTAGGACAGCATAACACCTCCCTTCTTTTGTACAGCAGATGAAGTAAATTATACTTCTGTTTCTACTGTATACATTTTAGGTCAAACAGATTTAAAAGACAGTTTGTTTTCACACATCCCCAGTTCTTCAACCAGTGTGATCTCTGATAGCCGTTTTAAAGTTAACATGGTCTACCTTATGCTTATTACCTCAAAAGGGCTTGTCTGAAGATTATAATGTGATTAGGAAAGAAATGCTTGCTGATTTGGATTAATAGGGGTTTGATCTGCTTCTTAAAATAAGCAAACCATGTTATAAACAAAAGATCATGTTTAAATATTCATATACATAAAGATAATTAAATGGTCATCTTTGTAAATGTTTAGAAGGCAACAGTACCAACATGGACTTCTGCTGTCAAATAACTTGTAGAATGAAAGCTACAGATTTTTTAAAGTTATATTAAATACTTAATTGTACTTTAGAGTATTTAAAGAAGTAAAAGGACATTTAATTCACAAATAATACTTTTTAAAATACAAGTTTATCCAGAGACTCCTCTGTTTCACATGTTAGTTTAAAGGCTTCCAGAATCATGAAATGAAGAACACACAGGGACCTAGCAGCGAAGTATTAATAGTGGCTCCTCACCTTGAGGTGTCGGTTCTGCCACTGGCTTCGCCTTCACTGGGATCCCTCAAAACAAAGTTAAGGTCAAGATTTTAATGAATGATCTTTTTTAAAAAAACGAATCAAGAAAACCTGTATCTAGGACAAAATTAAGGTTATGGTTGAACAGATATTCAGCATGAAATTGTCACTTACTGACATTTTAATCATTTTTTTTCACACCACAAGCGTATAACCTATGAGAATCCAATTTATTTTTACCCAGATGGATGGCTTCAGTTTCCCCATTTCTTACCCTTACCTGTCAGAGCCAGCTTCTCATGCGGGGACATGAGAGAAGCCTCCCACAGGATGGTAACACATCCAAGCCTCTCCTGGGCAACGTCCTTGCAAACAGCTAATTCTCTCACACCAGAAGCGACTTGCAGTTTCTCAAGTCGCTTCTGACACGATTAAAAAAAACCCTTACATATTCTAGCCAACTAAAAATAGACGGGTTGTCCATTTTACCACTCCATTTTTACCACTCCAACAAATGGTAATGATAAGAGCACCTCCAAAGTGACCCAACGTACATGGGGCTCTTATTCATAAGGACACCAAAACTAAACAGTAACATGTTAGTACTTAGCATATTGAAGGAATCCCACTGGAGCATTGCAGCACACCCAAATACCTGGGAGTCACTCTGGACCGTGCTCTTACCTACAAGAAGCACTGCCTGAACATCAAGCAAAAAGTGGGTGCTAGAAACAATATAATACGAAAGCTGACTGGCACAACCTGGGGATCACAGCCAGACACAGTGAAGACATCTGCCCTTGCGCTGTGCTACTCTGCTGCTGAGTATGCATGCCCAGTGTGGAACACATCTCACCACACTAAAACAGTGGATGTGGCTCTTAATGAGACATGCCGCATTATCACGGGGTGTCTACGCCCTACACCACTGGAGAAATTACACTGCTTAGCCGGTATTGCACCACCTGACATCCGCCGGGAAGTAGCAGCCAATAGTGAAAGGACCAAGGCAGAGACATCTCCAGCTCATCCCCTGTTTGGGTATCAGCCAGCACGTCAACGACTTAAATCTAGAAATAGTTTTCTAAGATCTACAGAGACACTCGCTGGAACACCTCAGCAAGAGAGAGTCCAAAAGTGGCAGGCTCAAACCCAGAACCTCAACCAATGGCTGATACCAAATGAGAGACTCCCTCCTGGGCACACAGAAAACTGGGCAACTTGGAAGGAGCTGAACAGACTGCGCTCTGGCACCACGAGATGCAGAGCCAACCTCAAGAAATGGGGCTACAAAGTGGAATCCATGACATGCGAGTGTGGAGAAGAGCAAACTACAGACCACCTGCTGCAATGTAACCTGAGCCCTGCTACATGCACAATGGAGGACCTTCTTGCGGCAACACCAGAAGCACTCCAAGTGGCCAGATACTGGTCAAAGGACATTTAGTCAACTACCAAACTCACAAATTTTGTATTTTGTCTGTTTGTTTGCTTTGTTCTGTTAGAAATTTAATATAATTGACTGGTTGCCCTGACACGACAAATAAATAAAGCATATTGCTTTAACACAGATTTATGTCATGGCACTGCAGCCAATCTGGAAAGTGTATGGATTCAATCCAGACTTTTAGATAACACAGGCATGGGCAAACGTCAGCCCTCCAGGTGTTTTGGACTTAAACTCCACAATTCCTAACGGCACACTGGCTGTTAGGAATTGTGGGAACTGAAGCCCAAAACACCTGGAGAGCTGAAGTTTGTCCATGCCTGAGATAGTATCTAAAAAGCAGAACATCACATTTTGCTTTCAGTTTTATACTCCTATTTAATAGTTTTCGGGGTCTCAAATTTCCCAAAGCATTTACTGAATGTACAACTCAGATAGAATCCTTGGTGGAGCTCAGAAGTGTCAAATTGAACATTGTGTTCGTAAACTTGGTTTGAGCAAGTTAAACTTGGTGAAATAAGCTCTGGACATTTTTTCCTAGCTACCAAAATGGAAATCATAAGAAAACAGGACACTGGTAAAAGAAAAGAAAAGTAATTCCTGGATGTATTTTGGAAGAAGTCTTCCAGTGGTCTCTATTAGGTCCAAAATGTTTTTGTTTACTTATGCAAGGTTCACCTGACCTTATTGTTTTATTTTACATGCCTATATTATTAGTTCTGAAAAAAGTGTTTGCTGAAACAAGTTGAATTACTCTTGCCTTTTACGGTGTAGGAAATATTTTAATATTTTTTCTATTAAAGTAGTTAAGCTCAGGAACACATGTATTTTGTTCACCGAATTATTATTGTATCTCCATTATTTTCACACCCAAAGTTCCAATTAATTCACAAAATTCATGTTTGAAATTGAATTGAAAACTGGATTAACACCATGAATGACCACCATTAGTATCCCATCAACTTGCTTATATCTCACATACAGGAGTTGTCCTGCAGTTGTCGAAACAGGCATTACCCAGATCAAGACCTGCTTAGTTTTGAAAATGTAGCCTTATCTTTCACCTTTCAGGCTACATGGAAATGGAAACAATGGATTGTACTAACCTGCGAACAAATTTGGAAGTTATTTTGCTTATAATGCCGGTTGATGTCCCCCTTCTACTCTGAGCAAACGTGCCTGTTTCATGTGACGGTGATGCAGGTGGCCCATTGTAAGTGGCATTCCGCCGCTCCCGTAGCTGCTCACCATGGAAAGTGCTTCGGCTTGAACTCCCCCGAGGAAAGCGGGTTCGGTCTGGAGTGGTAGTGCTAATACTGTGAGCAGACGGGGAAGCAGCAGGTGCTCTTTGAGTTGTACTGCTGGAAAGACAGGAGAGGGTTTGAAAGAGAGAGAGGAATAGCAACAGTCAAGGGAAGCCTTCACTAGTGGCTCTCAAGTGAATTAAGTATGAAGATTGTGAGGGGTGGAATATATGCTACCAAGACTATGAGGGTGGGTCAAAAAGTAATCCCTTCATTGCTCTAACTTTTATTTCTTTCACAGCTCCTGGACTATCTACGAGGAGTATTAAAGATTTCCCCTGAGCCACTTCCTGTGAACTGAGAGCAATGAAACTTGGCAGTTATTAGTCCTTCTCTACATAGGTGCCACCTAGGGACACACACTTCTCCCATTTTTTTAAGCAACTGTAAACACCTCGCTTGTAGAAGTTGACAGGTTGTTCCAAAAACCACTTTGTGATTTCAGCAATCAGAGTCTTACCATTTGAAAAATGCTTGTTCTTCAAAATAATATAATTGTTGGAAAGAGGTGGAAGTCCGATGGTGTGAGGTCGGTTGAATAAGGGGGATGCGGTAGAATTTCAAAGCCACGGGAGCATGTTTCTATTTGGGCAACATGTGAGTTGTGAACTGGTACATTGTCTTGAAGAAGGTGGACGCCTTTGATGAGCATGCCACGTCTTAGTTTTGATGGCCTCACATAATTTCTGCAGCAGTGAAGCATAGTATGTCTCAGTGATCATGGCACCCTTTGCTAGGAAATCCATCAATACTACTCCATGCGGGTCCCAAAATACTGTGAGCATGACCTCACCTGCCGAGAGTTGGGCACGTGCCTTCTTTGGAGCTTCATGATGCTTTCATTACATCAACTGGACTTTAGTCTCAGGATCATAGTAATGTTTTTGAACTGCTAGCTTTCATTCTGTGTGATCAGTCTGTTGAAAAAGTCCTCCTGGTTTCCATGGCATATTGACAATAGAACCTGAGAAGATTTGACCTGTTCCTGCTCCTGGAAAGGTGTGAGCAGCCGAGGAACCCAGCAAGCAGATACCTTATGCATGTGAAGACGGTCTTGGATGATTTTTTCCATGGACCACACACTAATCTTGACATTTCGGGCTAGGTGGTGAATGGTTATGTGGCGACTTTCCAAAATGGTGTCCTCCACTTGATGGTTGGTGTGTTCATCAATAGCAGAGTGGGGTAGCCCTGGAATTGGAGCTGTTTGCACTGAAGTCCGACCACATTTGAATTGACAATGCCAATTCTTGACTATATCATATGATGGGGAATCATCACCATAAACCTCTTTCATCTTATTGAATGTCTCAGTTGATGTGCGGCCTTTCAAGTAAAGGAACTTGATGACTGCTTTGTATTCCACTGGGTCCATTATCAAACCTCACACCACTTCAGCAAGACTGTTATCCATTCTGAATTGTAAACTGGCACATAACTGTTATCCATTCTGAACTGTAAATTGGCACACAGAGATTTATATCATTACACATGTGCAGCTAGGAGCAGTTTCTCAAGTGATTCCTCACACACACACACACACACACACACAAGACGTGCAGTTTCAGGATCCTGTGATAAATAAAAGTGGGTCAGGGAAATCTTTAATGAACGCTCCTCATATGCATGATATGAAAAGAGGTAACCTTATTTTACTGATATAGTCTTTTCTTTTTCTGACTGACTGATTAGAACCATTAATCTGAAGCTAAAAGAAAGCATCGTCATTGAATTCCTGGCAGAAGAAGGTTGTGGACCTAAGGAAATTCATAATCACTTGAAGAAGGTTTATTATTTGGCCCCTCCTGACTTTTACCTGTTTGGACCTCAGAAAGACAACCTACGTGGTTTCAGATTCAATGACTTGAATGATGTTAAAACAGCTTTAAAATCATGAGTCACGAAGCAAAACCCTGAATTTTTCCAAAATGGCTTTGATGCCTGGGTTAAACGATGGCGCAAATGTGTACAAATTGATAGTAATCATGTTGAGCGGTAGTCTTGTGTAAAGGACAGTTCAGGCTATGATTTGTAGCAACTTCTACTGTTATATGTTCATTCATAACGTTTTTATGTTACAGGAGGCAAAACTTTTTAGCCCACTCTCTAAAAAAGGTAAAAAGGAATGGAATCCTAAACATTTGAAACATCTGTATGGAAAGGAAATGTCTGAGAATAAGTTTACTTTATTGTTATGCAAAACCCTTCCATCATTTGAGATGCTACATGGGATTTTTTTCCCTCTCCAGCAGGAATAGCCGAGAAAGAAAGGAAACACAGGATAAGAAAGTGACAGAGAGAGAAAGAAAGTCTGTGTTGATAGATATTTGTCAGTAAAATATCTGTCGCATATGGTGTATGTGACTGTGCCAATGCCCAATTTGGAGTTCAGAATGTCAAATTATGGCAGGTTCCCACTGGGGAACTTTGGGCCAGCCAAGATTGCTCCACCATACCAACGATGCAGGTTGGGTTTTTAAAAAAAATGAGAATTGGACGTTATGGGATAAAAGGCAACAACATACACACAAAAATAAAACAAACTCCTTAAGATTCATATTGTAGTGATTAATCTGCACCTTTTTTCTTTCACTTTACCTGTTCTTGCCCTTCACTTACCTACTTGTGCCTGACTTTAGAAGCCACTCCTGTCACTAAGTAAAGTATAAATGGCTAATCCAAGATAATTTACCCTTGTTGCACAGCAGGTAGACAAGCTTTGTTTTATGAGCAGTTAAAATATGTGGGAATGTATCTATGTTATCACACCAGCTCAACTAGTTAATGTTCAAGCTCCAATAGAGCAGACTGTCAGAGCCCAGCAGTGATGTATGTTGTGCTACATATATAGTCCAATACCTACATCTCTTTGTCTGAAAAATAAAAGCTCTATATACATAAGGTACACTGAAAAAATACCTTGGTCGATAAGCTTCAGTGCCATCTTTGATAGTTGGCAACGTAACTTTTATAGGATGACCAGAGGCAGACATGGACTTCTGGTGTCGAGGCCGTGTTGATACTGCAGATGATACAGCAGAGCCGGCAGAAGAAGTACTGCTTGCAGACATTTCTGTTAGGCTTTTGTCATGAGAAGAAAGGTGTCAAAAGGAGTAGCAGACATAATATATTCTAGTATAATGCTTACAGGTAAATGCTTCAATTGTTTTTGAAAAGTATATTTAAAGACACAATCACTATCTCGTATCCCTGAAAAAATGGTGTACTAGTGCTTTGCATTGGCTCTACTCAGGCTATGGATATACTATTGTAAGCTATACCTTCTCCCCAGCAAAAGAAATGTCAGCAAAAGATCCAAGAAGTCCCACTTGTCTTGAGAGGTAGTTGAACCTCTGACCAGCAATCAAGCAATGTGCGCACACTAAGATGAAGTACAGGGGGAGAGGATAAGACAGACAATCACTCTGAGTAACAAGTGAAGGGGACACTGATGTTTGCTGAGTGGACTATCTGCAATGAGCTAAACCAGTGGCTCCCAACCTTTTTTTTTTAACCAGAGACCAATTGACCAGGTATCACTCTCCAACATGAGTACCAAAAGGGTTACGAATCAGTTTTTGGTTAACTTTAGGGTTGGCTTGGTTATTTGGGATGCTGATTCAGAAAATTGCATTAAATAGACCACATCAGTTCTGGTTTCTGATACAGAACATATGCCATCCCGTAGTCGACATTTGTTTGCCTAAATAAAATCATATTTAATAAGCCTCAGCACTGTAAGAGGGTTTCGCGAGACCAGTCTCTCTCATTGGTATACTAACTGTGAGGCCGCGGACCATATTTTAGTTCTTGTGGATCACAGGTGGTCCATGGGCCACAGGTTGGGAACCACTAAGCTAAACAGAAGAAGAGAAACACTAAATGCCTTCAATATTGGTTTCACAGCACTACTTGGCTACTACGATAAGTATTATTAATATTGTAAGTATATTGTAAGTATTATACTATGAGTCCATTCAAGCTCTAAGAGCATCTGGAGAGGCCGTTCCCTCTACCCCACACCTTCTCAGTAATTCGGTGGGAACAAGAGAGAGAACCTTTTTGGTGGTTGCCTCAGTCATAGGAATTCCCTCCTTAGAGAGGCCAGGAGAGTTCCATCATTGTTCTTCTTCCATCAACTGGTCAAAAAAAAATGTACCATCAGATATTCTACAAACTGAGTAACACTGGACTTGTTTAGTAGTTTAACTTTATAAATGGATTAATTATTTGAAAAAGCTTATATTTATAATTATATTCACTCACGAATTGTTCTAAATTTGTTTTGTTTTAAATATATTGTCAGATGGCTTTCAAAATAACAACAACAATATTATGTTTCCAGCTCCTCTGCCATAATATCCAATCAAACAGCTAACTGGTATATTATGAAAGCTTCTGGTAATTATGAAATAAAGGGAGGAGAACAAGCCAAAGCACGTATTTTGATGGAAATATAATCAACTCTCTTGAGAGGACAGTATTTTGACAGAGAAAATCCTATTTCTTTCTGCTGTTTTTCATCATACCCTATTGAATCCTAAAGCAGTTTCCCCTCCCCCTTTGCAAAATGCTAACAAATAATCCAGTTCTCGCAGTTTCAGAAATCATTTTGGCTGAGGCAAGGAAAAGGGAAGCATTGGCAACTGACACAGCTGGAAAAAGAAAAAAAACCCACAGAGAGAACCTTCCATATACATGGATTCTTTTTCGACACCCGTGGCTTGAACATATTCAGATATAAACCGAGCCTTGATTTTGCCATTTTAAATAAGGGACATCATTTTATTACGCCACTGCATGTAATGGGACTTGAACATTCAACAAATTTAGTATCTGTGAGGAGTCCTGGAACCAAACCCCAAGGTTTCACTGTATTATAATTTTATTACATTTCACCAGACATTATTATTTTTGCAGGATGGGGGTTGAGATATGGCAGTTTCACCAAAAATACTAAAAACTGTTGCATAACAGAGAAAAGGAATGTCCTGCCTTACAGATGAAGGCGGTGACTATTCAAGGCTCTTTTTTTAGCCCCAGGGGCCTCTATTTCCACCTGCAGCCGGAGGAACTGTTAGAGTGACACATTTTGTTTTCCAGCCTTTTTGAAATGCATGAAATGTACATGTTGATTTCTTTTACAACCCAGTAACAATTCAGTTTGAATTCTTAGATTCTGGAGAGGTCATGCTGAGTACCTGTTGTCTTTCCCATTCTGAATGGCGGAATAGCGATCTGTAGACCGTTCACAGACGTAGGTGTTTCTTCTTGTCATGCTAGTCCCAGAAAACACATTATTCTAGAGAGGATAAAGATAAACAATTATATGTAAATTCAGCAAAAAATACATGACAGACTAAAAATGCCTAAATGTATAACATATAAGCAAATGTATACACCTTCCCACACATTTTGGCATCTGACTCTAACCCCAGTAGTTTCTAATTTAAGTTTACTGGTTAAAAACATTGTTCCATTATCTATTCTAACAAAAGTGTGAAAGATACACATTTGCAATCTCAAAATAGAATTTTTGAAAGGATGCTGATCCTAGAAAGAACTGGTAGAATAGCTTTACACCAGGGGGAAAAAATCCAGATCGCAAAGGCATATTTTTCTGAAAGAGAAAATTGTACACATGATTCCTAGGAAACCCCCCAGATTTATTATTTGATTTACAGTATTTATACCCTGCCCCTCTCACCCTGAAGGGGACTCAGAGCAGCTTACAAAAAGGCTATCATTAGATGTTGCACAAATATACAACCAATAAATAAGCAAATACATTAAAACCCAAAAAGTTAAACATATAAATAGCATTAAAACCAATTATTAAAACCACGCAATCCAGGTTCCTATTCTGAAGCTTTTCCAGTAGTCATTACACTATTTTATAATCACTTACTGCACTGAACTCCTATAATTGCAGGTAACCACTTATTGACCTAAAAGCTATTGTTTGAAAGCTTGGTCCCACATCCACGTTTTCCGTTTCTTTCTGAAGGTCAGGAGGGAGGGAGCTGATCTGATTTCACTGGGGAGGGCGTTCCACAGCCAAGGGGCCACCACTGAGAAGGCCCTGTCTCTCATCCCAACCAGTCGTGCCTGCGAAAGAGGTGGGTCCTAGAACAGGGCCTCCCCTAAATGGTTCATAGATGGTGATACGTTCAGACAGGTAAGCCCATTTAGGGTTTTCTAGGCTGAAGTCAACACTTTGAATTGTGCTTGGTAGCAGACTGGCTAACAAAAACGCATGGATTCAAACTGTTTGAGGATTTGACCAAAAAGATTTACAGAAGAAAAACAGCACTGGTGTGGAACCTAATTCTCTACTTTGAGCAGCTCTCAAAGGAAGAACTTGCCTTTTTAAAAAATGAATGAGCAGCAATTATCTTAAAGAACTCTTGTGCCAAATACTCAGAATGCATTTTTACTCAATGGAGTTGAAGAATACCTAAAGGATTCTATGCTGGTATCATAAATTACCCGGCGGAGTAAATACATGTTATGCCATTAAGGATCTCCTTCTGATGGAATTTTGATTAAGCGCACAACACTGCCAATATGGATTGAATCTCACATCTGGATGCAGGGAAGGTTGCCTTCTCTATCACTTATTTAGTTTTAAATTTGCCATTAATCCACAGAGATTAATATTTTTTAATAAAAAATGCCAGACAAGTTTGTTCATCTTTTTTAACCTCTGTGGCTGGCTGGCAGATTGTTTAAACAGCTCTGACTGTGGGAGCTGTTCACCAGTGGAACTCTCTGCCCCAAAGTATGGTGGAGGCTCCTTCTTTAGAGGCTTTGAAACAGAGGCTGGGTGGCCATCTGTCAGGGGTGCTTTGAATGTGATTTTCCTGCTTCTTGGCAGAAGGGTTGGACTGGATGGGCCACAAGGTCTCTTCCCACTCTATGATTCTATGGAGAGTATCTAAGTAATTAATCTAAAGTAGTGACTGACAACTGAGTGGGATCTGGGGTACACACATGTCCATATCTAGCTATATCTGTCCATTTCAACTCCCCCAAAAGTGCACCGAGGAATAGCATTAAAATGGACAGTTGTATGTCTGGATGTTTCTGGTACTTCAACTGTCCATCCTGAGGTCTTTTTGAACAATGTGGGGAGATGCCTTAGAGCAGTGGGTCTCAAACTGTGGGTCTCCAGATGTTTTGGCCTTCAACTCCCAGAAATCCTAACAGCTGGTAAAGTGGGCTGGGATTTTGGGGAGTTGTAGGCCAAAACACCTGGGGACCCACAGGCTGAGAACCACTGCCTTAGAGTCAAGGATTGTAAAACTCAAATATATGCTCGGAAGGCATAGTACAGATGTGTGAAAACACAACCACTTCCAGTATGCAGTGTGGCTATACACATAGGCAACCTTTATAGTCTTCTTTTTCCTCAAAGGCAAAAGAACAGGAAATTATGCATGTTTCCTATACACACAGATACAACACAAATTATTTTGTAACTATGGTGAGACTATGCAAACATTCTTTGTTCACTCTCCTATAGAGATAGTGCTCAGCTAAAACTGGGCCTTTGTTCTCTTCTCTCAAGCTTTCTTTACCTTGAAAGTCCATTTGCTAGAGGGAGACTATCTAGCAACACCAAGTCAACTTTATATAAAGTGCAGACAGAAGAAGAGAGATCTTATGTCTGCTTAAAGAATCAAAGGCTTCAGTATTATATGAAAAGAACAAGCTTCCATTATTAGGAACGTTCACATCCAAAGTGGCAGCGACAATGAACAGAGTCCTGAAGGGAAATGCAAATTCCTATAGCCTCTGGCAAACAGCTACAGCAATTATTTTCTAATTGACTTGGATGCCTTCCCTCAAAAGGGGAGAACAATGATTTGAATAGTCAGATATTCACATATAAGCTGCTGCTTTGGTATATATCTCCTGATGATAGAGCATGAAATTATTATAACTACTGACTGCACAAAACCCAGGACTGGTAGGCCTGCCAGATTTTCAGGGTCAGGAGATGTGTCTGGATTCCAAAGATGCGAAATCTGGGAAATAGATCTGAAAATGTCCAAAACAGGACAGGTCTATTATGTGAGCAAGTGAATACCAGAGCCTAGAGAGCCTCAGAATTGCTGACCGACCGTGAGTTTTGGGACAGTGATGGTTATGTGGCAAAATCCATACAGAAGATATAATATCATGTGGGCTGAAAAACACAGACTGAGATGTAACTGAAGATAAGACACTGGAAGTGGTGGTCTGCGCATGACTCCAATGTTTTATTAAGTCCCAACACTGCAGCTTCAATAATGTAACACAACAGATGGGTGATTGGAACATAATGGATTGGCACATCCAAATCCGTGCAGAACTAAAGACTTCAATCTACCTTCATAAAGCTAACAATATGAAGAATACCTTCATGCTGTAAAGAAAGTATGATGAATACAACATTGTATTCAATGTATCCATCTGAACATGAGGAAGAACTTCCTGTGAGAGCTGTTCAGCAGTGGAACTCTCTGCCCTGGAGTGTGGTGGAAGCTCCTTCTTTGGGGGTTTTTAAACAGAGGCTGGATGGCCATCTGTCAGGGGTGCTTTGAATGCAATATTCCTGCTTCTTGACAGGGGGGTTGGACTGGATGGCCCATGAGGTCTCTTCCAACTCTATGATTCTATGAACAGGGCTGTGATATGTTCCACACCTGGAACAGCCATGTAATTAACTGTCTATAGCAGGCCTCCTCAAACTGTGGCCCTCCAGCTGTTTGGGCCTTCAACTCCCAGAATCCCTGACTACTAACAAGCTCATTAGGGCTTCTGGGAGTTGGAGGCCCAAACAGCTGGAGGCCTGCAGTTTGAGGATGCCTGGTCTATAGGAACAGTCTGCTTCCTTTTCAGTTCTACTGAAAAGGCACTGTCCTTCAACTGAAATGAATCTAGAAAATCATAGAATCATAGAGTTGGAAGAGACCTAATGGGCCATCCAATCCAACCCCCTGACAAGAAGCAGAAAAATCACAATCAAAGCACCCCTGACAGATGGCAATCCAGCCTCTGCTTAAAAGCCTCCAAAGAAGGTGCCTCCACCACACTGCTGAACAGCTCTCTCAATCAGGAAGTTCTTCCTAATGTTCAGGTGGAATCTCCTTTCTTGTAGTTTGAAGCCATTGCTCTGCGTCCTAGTCTCCAGGGCAGCAGAAAATAAAGCTTGCCCCCTCCTCCCTATGACATCCCCTCATATATTTATACATGGCCATCAAGAGTATTCCAAGAGTATTCCAAATGATGGTATCTAGCAGATACTTTTTCCTGCTTTATGACAATTAGGCATTGCTTAGCTGAAAATGGATGGAGAAGCTCCCACACATTGCTGCTGTTGATGCAGACATAAAGGAACTGAGGCAGAGTAGGAATGCTAACACATGAGCAACTGGGAGAAGAATCTAGAACAGAACCATTTCTCTGAATGGCAGAATGGTATTGCTTATTCAAATAGATGTAAAAATTTCCAAATGTGCAGAAGTATCTAGTAGCCACAATGGAGGGTGCACAAGATGGGACCTAACACAGCAGTATAAAGAGGAATCCTGTGTTTCTATAGCAGTTGTGTCCAGATGAATGCAATTTTCCTGTTTCTTGGAAGGGTTGGATTGGATAGCCCACGATGTCTCTTCCAACTCTATGATTCTATGAAACATTGGTCCAAGTGTTTGGGTCTCCAATTCCCAGAACGGTGAGAGCTGTTCAGCAGTGGAACTCTCTGCCCCAGAGTGTGGTGGAGGCTCCTTCTTTGGAAGCTTTTAAACAGAGCCTGGATGGCCATCTGTCGGGGGATGCTTTGAATGCAATTTTCCTGCTTGGACTGGATGGCCCATGAGGTCCCTTCCAACTCTATGATTCTAAGTCCTGGCTAGGTTGTCAGGAATTCTGGGGGCTAAAGTCCAACATACCTGGAGGACCAAAGGTTGGGAACCACTGCTCTATAGCATACTGATATTTCACGCCTCCTATTCTTTTAAGGCAACGTTTAAATTAGTTTCCACAATGTAAAGTGTGCTGGAAGTTTCCTTCTGAAACAATTCAAATGCCAGTTTTTTCATATGCTATTGTTATGAGCAATCCTTGGTAAGATATTTTTAGAAGAGGTTTGACACTGCTCTCCTCTGAGGTGGAGAAAATGTGAACCGTCCAAGGTTCCCATGGTGATTTGAATCATGGTCTCCTTGAGTCCTGGTTCAACTCTCAAACCACCACACCAGCTCTCATTTTTACATGGCAAATCCGATTTCTTATATGTCAGTAATTTCTGAACACCTGAATGTTCATTCACTTGCTTATTGCCATATGTCATCATTTACATTCTTTATCCAAAACAAACCAGCCAAGGCAATGCACTATGGCATGCTTACAAAGCAGAGATGACCCCAGCAGTGATCGAAAATCTCACTTACACTTGGAACCGTAGTTGATTTTTTCCTTTCGGGGCCCACCAATGGACTTGCTGTCATCTCACCTTTGGACCCAACTGTAGTGCTGCTCAGTTTACGTGGTACATCTTTGTCCCATTCCTCTTTATGGTCACTCTCCACACTATTTGCCTGAGCTCTTTTTGAGTATGAGACAGCAGGAGGGATTGATGGGCCAACTGTCAAGCAGAAGCAACATCAATGAGGAGATGCTCTCTGAATCACCTTCAGTGAGTCTGAAAATTATCTGCACTTGTACTAAAAATAAAATCCAAGCTACTAATACAAATAAGATCCTTGTGTTGTGCTATAAAAATAAGATGTCATGCTCATACATTACCTGAAATCAAATGAGTCATGAGCATCAGGACAGCATGATTTTACACAGCATCAACCAAATATTCACTATTTGTTTCCATTTAAATTTTCTATGCTCTTAGAATAAATGCAACACAGAGATATACCTCATTATTATTCAACTGGTTTCGATGCATATGGCCACAAGGTTATGATTGGCTGTCAACTCATTTGTGCATCCACACATATAATCTCAGTAACAACTAACTAAACATGCCAGAGATCCAAACCAAAACCACTGCAATCAGCAGTTCTATGGAATATATTATGTATTACATATTAATCTACTTTGATACACTTGTGAACACATTGCTAATAATTTCTAAAAGTACTGTGTGAGATCCATAAAGGGAAACAACTTGATTTTTTCGTGTGTGTCAGTTTTTGAGAAACTGCAAGTCGTTTCTGGTGTGACAACATTGGCCACCTGCAAGGACGTTGCTGAGGGGATGCCCGGGTGTTTGATGTTTTACCATCATTGTGGGAGGCTTCTCTCATGTCCCCGCATGGGGAGCTGGAGCTGACAGAAGGAGCTCAACCTGCTGTCCCAGGATTCAAACCACTGACCTATTGATCAGCAGTCCTGCTGGCACAAGAGTTTAACCTTGTGACACAACATTTTTAATTTTTGTAAAATACCACTGGTTTTTCTCCCTTTTCTTCATCTGCAGTGCATCTTTATTTCCAGATTATTTTCAAATAAATGCATGCCAAGTATTTTCCATTTCCATGTAAAATGCATAGGTTCAAAAAGTATGTTTGAGAACCACAATGAACAAATTAAGGGTGGCAACTCAAACACATCTCTAGTCAGATGATTTTACTACGCAAGTATAAGATACTGACAGAATTATTAACTAGCACTTCTAACTCTGACAGATGTTGGAGAGCCATCTGAATATTCTCCCATGCAGAGCTCAGAAATCTGAACTCCCAGATTTCTGAGAGCACCCTTTTCTACCAACAGATGCACAAGCCCAGTTACAAACCTTATAAAGTGTTCATTGAAAAAAGAGAGATTTGCAACAAAGGTAGATGCAAGCAGCCCTCTTCTTTTGCTACAGAAAGGACAATGTCACAACAACACAAAGGACTTTGGGGATTGCTTTATACAAAACAGTTCCGCTTGCACAGAAAAGACTCAGCTGTCCACATTGTAGGCAATGGCTTAAAATGTTCAGACAGAGCTTGGGAAAGGGGTGGGGTTATTTTTGCACTAGAGCTCCCAGGATCTCTCAGTCAGAATAGCTGCTGACCAAGCTGTTTGAAGGATTAAAAAGGCTGTGGTCCAAAAAGTAAAAAATCAAACTTCTATGTTGAGACACACAATTGTCTTTTTAATCAAAGGGCTTATTTTATAATCATTTTTCTATATGCTATTTCCAAGTTTATATTCAGAGCAATGATAGTAGATGCAAAGCACAGTTAAGCAGGTATTTAAAATAGTTACAAACACCAGAAGAAAGACAAATGCAATTTAACACATTTGTTGACTAACCCGCACTATATTTACCACGGAACGCTCACATGATATAAGCACCATGATGCAGTGTGAAGAGGCACACAATTAATGCACAGAGAGGTAGCACTGCCAAGACCCAGAAACATGGCACACAGCTTAAAATTGTATTTGGCTACTTTACTTGGTTGAATGCCATCCCCACCATGTTCACTGAACCGACGCTGTTTCTGATTGGCTGATATGCTCCGCTGGACTTTCAGATGAGCAGGAGATTGCATAGAACTGTTGTTGAGGTCACTGCTTGGCCGAGATCTTTGACTCAGGTTAGTGCTGGACAGAGACTCGTTTCCCTCGAACTACATAGATAAATGACAACTTTCAGAAAAGAATACAAACATCCTAATTTTCACCACAAACACTTGCAATTGTTCTTTAAAGTTATTCAGATCATCATTTATTTATTTGAGGACTGCTTTATGTCACCAAAGGTTGTATGGAATTGCAAGGTAACATTTGCTACATCATCTATCTATCTATACACATTATAAAAATGAAAATGTGTGTATGTGGCAGAGGTGTCTGCTTACACAGACTGCGTCCCGCTTCCACAAGCAAGCAATAATTGCAAGTGCTGAGAAGCCTCCAAAGGCACTTCCTGAACTGCAGGTTATAGTGAGCGTATGGAACATGTAGCCCAAACCCTGACAATGTCCTCCCCAAACACCAACCACTCAAGGAATGCTCTCATTCAGGGACCATTTCATCCTAGATATTTCTCCCCCCCCCCTCCAGAATAGAAATCCCAGGGTTCCTTTCTTTCTCCAAATTTGCATGACCCCACCCACTGCCTCTCACTTAACCCTTTCTTAACCATTCCTATGGCATATGGGAGTAGTTCACCTTATCCAGAGAGACCTGAACCCAGATGACATCAGATCTGCACCAAAGTTGGCACACAGACCCAACTATGCATACAGGTGGGGTTTGGGGGTAAATGACCTTGGCTCTGCACGTTGTAGTTCACTCTCATCCAGAAAGCACTGAACCCAGCTGATATGGGCCAAACCTGGCACACAGACCCAACATGTCCAACTATGCATACAGACGGGATTTTGGTTTTAACTGATGTGACTAATTTATTGTTTTAATGTTTTTGTTGACTATTTGTATGGTGATAACATCGTACGGTGCTTATGTGAAGTCGCCCTGAGTCCGTCCCCCCCTTGGGGGGAGAAGAGCGGGGTAAAAGTGTATGAAATATAATAATATAATATAATAATAATAATAATAATAATAATAATAATAATAATAATAATAGGGGTTTATGACCTCTGATCTGGAAGTTGTAGTTCACCCTTATTCAGATAGCATTGAACGCAGCCGATGTCAGATCTGGACCAAACCTGGCACACAGACCTAACATGGCCAACTTTGAATACTGGTGGGGTTTGGGGTGATTGGGCTATTGGGAATTGCAGTTCACCCACATCCTTATGCACTTTCTAATGGGAACATTCATGAAAAACAACAGGAAAGTCAGGCTTTTTTTGGAAGAAACAGACTACAAATTACCAAAATGATATTACCAACACCCCAAAACAAACAGTGCCTTTTTGAAATAACCGGGGCCAACATCATATACTGGAGTGGTTGGGGGGAATGATCCGCCCACACAGGAGTTGTAGTTCAACCTGGATCCAGAGGTATTACTGAACTTCCCAAAACAAACAATTGCCTTTCTCAAGTAACCCAAGCATTGCCGGGTCCCCAAGCTAGTCATCCATAATTTTGGTCTCAGATGCAGCTATCAATTGTGCATTTTTCCCCCTGGTCAGTTAAAAATAATCTAAAAAGCAGCCTAAGGGCTGACATTGGCAACAGAAGAGCAAGGAATGGAGGAGGCCTCTTAAATCTCCCCATGAGCTGTTTTCCTATCAGTGAACATTCAGATACAAGGATTGTGGATAGAAATATGAATGTCAGCTATGGAAAGAGTCTCTCCAGCTGCTTTTCAGTTACTGGTGGAACCCTCTGAGATTGATTGCCCGTAAAAGAAAAATATAGTCAAGGGAAAGAATTATGCAAAGAAGTAAAATACAGTGAAGAAAACTATGTTTCATCAAACTATATGATAATACATCAAAGAATATTAAATCATCCATGCTTGCTTGTGTGGGGTAATACTTCCTATAAATATACAGAGTCCTAGAATGATGCATTGGTTGCGCCTCTTTAAAAGAACAGCAATCCCTGAAAGCTTGTGACAGGAAATGCATTCTTTCCCTGTTTCTCAAACCACACAAAGAAGAAAGGGCAAAAGGCGGAATTCTTCTTGTTCAAAGATGAGCATCATTATCTCAAAGGATTCAAGTATTAAATACTGCAAGTTGACATTTTCATTTCTAGTAGACTTGCACCACTGAGGAAAGCACCCCAGGACAACTGCAGTCTGTTGATTTATTATAAAGACGTATAATTCAAAAGGGACTATCGGTCTCATTTTCACATTATGCATTAATATTAATTGTGAAAAGACTGTATTCTCAGTTCAGATACTGAACTGAGCATATTGATACAACTGCTGTAGTTTGTTAAATTATTCTTAATGTTTCCCTAAACACAAATATCTTCTTGGACATGTTTTTTTCTAGGACATTGGTAACATTGCATAGTGCTGCCCCTTAAAAGCTCTATTATTCTTTTCTGCTTTCTTTGAACATGCCACAAAAATAAACTGTTGAGGAAGTGCAAGGTCTGAAAGATTATATGATGTAAATGAAGACTGGATTGACACATGAAGCAGGAATAAGTTGGTAGAAAGGCCTGTACTGATTCAGACGTAGGTAAACATAACAGTAACTGTAGTTTTTAATCAAAGGAATTACATGAAAGTACTAATCTGCAGAACTTAGAATCTTCTATGTACACTACAGTTTGCTTCTATCTATATTTTATATGGGATGCTGTCATAATTATGTCAGCCCTGTTACTAATATATATGGATTGCATGAAGCTTGAGATATGTACCATATATGCTCGAGTATAAGCCGAACCGAATATAAGCCAAGGCACCTAATTTCGCTACAAAAAACTGGAAAAACGTATTCACTCAAGTATAAGCTGAGGGTGGGAAATGCAGGAGCTACTGGTAAATTTCAAAATAACAATAGATATCAATAAAATTACATTAATTGAGGCATCAGTAGGTTAAATGGAACTTCAGTGTGACCAGATAAACTCAAATAGGTATATGAACACGGAACAGCTAAGACGATGTAAACAGATGAGGAACCGAACCGGAAGACATTGGTTTTATAGATTTATATATAGTTTTTATCGCTTCTATGGTTTTTATATGTATTTATGAAATAATTTAATTGCTTTTAACTGAGATGTGTGTTTGTGTGTGTGTGTGTGTGTATACACGGCATCTAATTGTGCCAGTTCTGTACGCCGGTCTGAGTCACCTTTGGGTTGAAATGGGTGGGATAAAAATGATGTAAATAAATAAATAAATGTTTCTGAATATTTACATAAAATTAATTTAAGATAAGAATGTTCAGATCTGATTACATCATTATTCTAATCTTCTTCAATGTAAATGTGCTTACATAACCTTCCAATAATCACCATAGTTTATTTTAACTATACATTTTGGGGGAAATGATGTGTATATATGAATAAATAAAAGTTGAAAACACAGGCGCCGAGAAAGAAGGAGAGGAAGGCACACACTGTGCTGAGAGAGGAAGAGAGAAAGCCATGCGCTGCACAAGAAAGGAAAAGAAGGTGTGTGCTGTGTGAGAGAGGAAGGAGAGCTGAGTTGCTGTGTGGAGAGGTGAGAGTCCTGTTGGGAAGGCGTGGGGCTGAAAAAAGCCCTTCTTTCAGCCCCACACCTTCCCACCAGGACCCTCATCCAAGTATAAGCTCACCTAGTATGACAATAACAGCATTGCAGCTTAGACAAAGGAGGATAATATTCTAGAGCAATGGTTCCCAAACCTCCATAATTTCAAAATGAAAAAGGACCCATTTTGGGTGGAAGGGGAGGAGATCATGTATTCTACTGTGTTTTATTTTTAAAGAATGTTTGAATGTAGAAACATGTAAAAGTACTCCAAAGGACATGTTATGACTTTAGTCAAATTGGAATGAATCTTATATCTGGAGAAGCCCATGGAAGACTATAAAATATTATTTGCATTAAGTGATATTATACCTTATTTTGCTGCACGTGTAAACAATGTGTAACAATGATGGCTGAGTCATACGTCCATATGTTCAATATCCCAAACAGTACATTTGTCAGTTATCTACAGGATACTCAGTTCTTTTTAACTTTTTTAGCAACCGCTATGTCTGTTTTAACTCTTACAAGATGCCTTGAGTCCCAGATGGGAAAAGGCAGGATATAAATCAGTATAGAACTAGTATTAACAACAATAACAATATTATTCAAAACAATTCTAAAACTAGCTGAACAATAAGACAAAATAAAAAATGGCAGATAAAAATAAAGAACTATGAATTACCTCAGGTGGTTTTCTGCCTAGGAGCAGATAAGTAGCCATTACTTCATCATATTTTTGGTTTATTAAAGAGTCATGAATTTCTTCTCTTGCAAAACCCATAGTGACCATAATATCTGTAGAAATAATAATACAAGTCAATTTACTCTTGTCAAAACATATCAAAACTATGTCACTAAATAATGTGAACATCAGCTGAGAGCACATCCCCCCAGCACCAATTGCTGAGTGAAGAGAGAGGGGACCAGGAAGACAGTTCCACCTTGTCTCCTATACTAATAATGGAATATAATATATTGTATATACATATAATATTTATAATACTATA